CCGGGAGGAAACCGGGAGAGGGCAATGAAATCGGGAGTCTCCCGCGAAAATCGGGAGGGTTGACAAGTATGACCCACACCCAACCCACACTCAACCAGATGACTGGTTTCAGGGCCAGGATAACTAAGTCCACGTCTGAAAAAATAACCAGCTCACTGGATTGCACTCGACTGTAGACCACTTGGAGTGGTAGAAGATAAGGGGCTGCAAAAGGTACTACAGATTGCATCGTCTGACACAACATATGAGCTGCCATGCAGAAAGACAGTGACAAAAAGAATCCAGCAGCTTTATGACAATGAAAAGGAAGATAAAGAGAATTTATTGGAGAAAGCCGAATGTGTTGCCCTGACTGGGGATCATTGGACCTCGGTAAGCAATTAAAATTACCTCTGTGTGACGGCACACTTTATTGACATCTTCTCACTGTTCTCAGGTCAAATATTTATATGTGATTAAAAATGCGATTAATTTCGATTAATTAATTACAAAACCTCTAATTAGATTAATTTTTTTAATCGAGTCCCGGCCCTAATTATAATGTATTATTATTATCATTTCCCCCTTGTGTAAGAACAAAAGACACATTAGAAAACACTGGTTCAACATCACAAGCTTCCCAAAGATGGGAGATATGTCTTAGCTGTTGTATTGAAGTGCATTAGATTTCTAAGGTGTTGCTAATAAACAATGTGGTATGTTTATCACCCAAGGAAACAAAGACACCATCTTTATCAAAACAGCTGAACCAGGGTTTTGCACAGTGAACTGTACGCCTGCTGGGCCGGAATAAAACCCAAGCTCCAGCATCAGGGATGTATTTTTTAGATTTTCTTCTTTTAACTAAAGTGTATTACATAAGCAGCTAACTCTATTTAGGAATAACTTAGTTCCTAGGTTGTGTGTGTATCAAGAGTGAGCCTGTATTGTTTGCTTACTAAAAAAAGCACTAGTGGTGGCATTTTCACAACAACTTTAGGATATAAATACATATTATTATTATTATTATTATTATGATGAACACAAAAAGGACAATGTATCTTCTTCTTACCTGATAAGAGATGACAGCGGGCTCAAAGTGCTTTGCACACAGTTTGTACACCCTGTGCAGCTGCTCCGGAGGCTCTGATGCCAGGTCTGGGCGATGACAGTTGTGTAACCATTGTTTGCATCTGAAAAATACAGAGAGAACGTGAATAACTTTCATGTGTCACAACCACAGACTCAATCATTTCAAACAAATTCAACATGCATTATATCTGTACTCTAAATATCTGAAATGATGACGTGACAAACAGACATGAGCGCTCGAAGGTTGGTCAAAGTGTTTGCTTTAAGGTCAACTGTTCATCGTGATTCACCAGTTTAACATTGGTGAAGCTTTACATGACTAAATATGAACTCTAATATTCTTTCTAACCCAAAGACAACGGGACTTACAGACCACTTATTAGATTGTTTGGTTATGAAACATCTATAGTATGTAACTATGTATGTATGGTTATGACAAATTAAAAGGCAAGAGAAATTCACCCAAAGCAGTAGACTTATAATACATTTAAAAGCCATAATTGTCTTATTTCAGAGCATAAAATATGCTTACTGAGCAAAAACAATGAGGTTGATTGAATACAGACACTATATGATGTCCTTGGTCCAAACCACTGTACTGTATGCTGCTCTTTACTCAAATTGAAAATTGCTAATGAAAGACTTATTTAATGACTATTTCCGAACATTTATAGTCACACATAACATGCGTACACAACCGATCTGATACACCCAGGGATTCTGCTTTGGTCAGCTGCACTTGCAACAACCCTGCCTGTGTTGCAAAATAAAGGGAAGAACTGAGTTGGGAGTGACTGCTCAAACGCCTTCTCCATTTCACACAAGCCCTTTGCATTCATTTGCAATCATTCTTGGCATTCTAATAATTGGACTATTCTCAATTCAAATAACTTTATTGGAATGAACAAGTCATGTTGTTGCCCAAGCATTTTACAACATATTCAAATATTAAATGTAAAGCTGTCACATATGCAAGTAATATAGTCCCACTGATGCAGTTCTTTCGTTAAATGTTGTACAATACACTACAGTTTTCAATGCTGAGTTTAATTTAAAAGTAATCTCTCTCAAATGATGTGTATGGAAGCATGCTCAGAAAAGGGTGGATTAAAGCAAATAAGGTAATTTAACTATATGTAACACAATACAAAGTGGATGCCATATTAAAAAAGAGCCAACAGAGCAAAGGAGGGGAACAAATACTAACTCTTGCCGGAATGGATGTAAAAAAAAAGGTTCACACCTATGGTTCACACCCGTTGCTCTGATACTGTCAAAATGCTAATCTGCAGCTGTCATGCCGAATCTTAGTCCTTCCATGTATTACATTTTATGCAACATAAACACATTCATTTGTACGAGACAATTTAAATCTCAAAGTTAAACAAAAAAAAACAGGATAAAAAGGAAGGGGGCGCTAGACTGCTGTTTATTCATCTGATAAAAATACGTAAATAAAGTTTCACCTGATATTGTTTACAATGAGGTGTGTTGCAAAATGACTATAGACTGTGTGCAGTTTAGAACGCAATAGCGTAAATTAGCACTTCCAATGCGTTGTATTTGAATTGAGCTGAACTAACGTCAGTGTTGCTAATGTTACCGCACTATGGAGACGGTAGGTGTCGTGTACCGATGGCGATTTAAATTACAGCACAAAAAGTTTTAAACTATGGTTTATCTTTGTTTGCGACACAACCAAACACATATATGAAGTGAATATCAGCTAATATCCAACGTTAGCGTCGGTTGGCCGAGACTGAATGAAAGAACGGAGTGTATTTCACACGGACTTTTCTTTCTAGAGTAACGCTAGTCTGCGCCATTTTCGACAGAGTTGTGTCACTGTTAGCCATGATGTTAGGCTAACGCCAATGCTAACAGTGGCTAGCTAACACATTCATTTTGCATGCTCAGTGGCTCGTTTTTCACCCACATCCCAATGAAATAAGCACAACTCTTACCGCTCTAGATCCAAAGGAAAGCTGAAAAGTGGAGGGGAGTTTTCGGAATTCCCTCGCTGGTAATCACAGTTGGCTGCGGCGCAGCAGTCAGTCATTTTGAACTGCAATGTTGCTAGCTAGCAAGTTAGCTAGCTTAGCTGGCGGTTGCAAGCTGGCAAGCCTACTGTGTGTGAGCAAACCTGCTGGAGAGTCTACAGAGCCATGCCTTGGGCAAAAGCTGCAACCAACGCACTTGTATTTCAACGTATTTGTTTGCTTAATGTCTCTTTGGTAAATTAATAAGCCACTGATTCCATGCTTTAAAAAAGTTGATGTTGCGTGTTGAGCCAAGAGTCACCGAAAGCGTGTTATCCTATCAACCAGGAACTGGTCCGTGTAGTACAAAATGTTCACCAGCAGAGGGCAGAATAGCACCGTCACACTGTGTCAAAGAGTTTACTTGCCAAGATAGTTAATATCCTGTTCTGGTTCTATTCCAACCGAGAGATAAGTGCAAGGGTATTTTTAAATGTTATAGTATGCAGCACCAAAGCAATATATTGGGGAACGCGCATGCATATTCCATAGTATATTCGCAAAATGTATAATTGTCTATACGTGTATCTATGTTGTGTTAATGTGGGTTTGTACATATCAACACAACTCAAGGATTATATAAAATGGCATGTATACGCTCTTTGTTTTGTGTAGTTTATAAAGGATATTGCTTTTTCGCTGAAGAAACAGCATCAACTTTGTTTGTGTTTCAATCTTGGTCTGTGTTAATTGAATTTATTATAATCACTGTTACGTTGATATCTTGTAGTGCAGCCGTACTCTTGAATTGATTTCATACTCTTTGATTTCGATGTTTGCAGCTTCCTCTGCACATATTTTGTAAAGTAAGATGTGGTTCATTTCCCTGTTTTCCACCACAGATCCTGGATACGCACCCTACGTATTATTCGGTAGATCATTTCAATCTCAGACCATGTGTCCTAAATCCCATTTAGCACACTTTTCGACCATCTTTAAATTCAAATGAATTTAACTGTGTACATGTAGGTTTGATCATACATTAAAGTATTTTTGTTTTCATGTTTCTTGGCAGAAAATAACAGAGTACACTGACTGGAATCTACTGTGTAATGAGTACGGAGTTTGTTATTAAATATGTGTTTCTCTGAATACATCTTTCAGTTATACTAAAAACTTTCACTGGCTATGGTCTATTGTTTTCTCTTAGCGACATTTAGGGATACATTGTGCTGTTTGACTTGCCTGTTTATTACAAAAAGAGTAAAAAACAGAACACAGCCCAGCACTGGAATACAAAATGACATACAGCTATCATTACTTTCATTTAAATCTACAGATGTGATAACATTAACAGTTGCACTTTTAAAGCAATTCACTTGTATTTACTTTTAAATTGAAGATCACCCTTCAAAAAAAAGGGAGGGCAACCACTGCAAAATATGAATATATAAAAAGTCTAGGCATTCCAAATGGTTGCGGTCCTTAATCATAAAATATGTATTTTACACCTTGCACTACATTTGAGTCTCGGCGCAGACAATGACTCAGCTCTTCAGACCCACGAGCAAAATGGATAGTGACAGATACTGGCAGGGGTGAGCTAAGAGCTTTGGGTCTTATTAAGGAGCCTTCAAGCACACTACTAACTAACCATGAACCCCACACTTAGGTGAATCATTCTCATGAAACATCCTTACTAGTTCATTATAGGCACTGCCCTGGCTGTGCTAATTGGTGTTTCACAAGAGGGAACATCGGTTTAAGTCCCGAGCAAAAAACGTAATTTAAATCTGTTCCTATTCATTGGAAGGAATGTTCTACCAAGTTTAGTTTCTATATAGGTATTGTACGTTTTTGTTTGAAAACATACCCTTTTTCAAAAAAAAAGAAAGATAAACAGAGACAAAATACTCACACATTTAGAATGAAGACTACAAAAGGTTATAAACAGGCTCTTTATTAACAGGTTTATAGAAGGATGTAAAGCTGACCCCCCTTATCCAATTCTGCAGTTCACTGGGTGACAGAGCAAAACACTTTGACAAAGCCAAGACAAGTATTCACTTCTACCTAAGGTAAGAAACTATTACAATTATTTTAAGAGTTGAGGAATGGACTTGGATAGCTGGTATCATGACTCATTTGAACCCTGGCAGGTCTAGAGGATGTGAACAGAGTGGCTAATACTGGAAACATAACAAGAAAAGAGTATAGCAAGGACTCCCATCGTGAAAAAAAAAGAAAATCACAGATGTTTATTACTAAATTCATGACACTTTGCGAGCCAGTCTCTCATTCATTTACATTCTAAAACAATAAAAAAAAAAAAAGCTATAAAAGATGCTACTTCAGTATAATGGCTCAAGTAGTACAAATATGTAAGTAACAACACAAATAAAGTGGTATGACTCATTAACAAAGCTGTGGGTAATCTGTCTGGAGGCTTCACTACCAAATCACAGAGACACATCCTCCCTGTCAGGGTATGTCTTCATATAAACCTCAACCATTGAGTCCAGATCATATGCTACATCACAGTTTATGTTCAAAAGAGCAATACTTTTTGATTTGAATTGGTCAGGCGTGTTCTCCATGTACATCTGGAAGCGCTTGTACGCCACATCACAGCTGTCCTCCAGAGTCAAGGTTGGGATGATGGCGATCTGCCTCAGAACTGCGAGCATGTTCGGGAAGAACTTCACATCGGCCAGCTGCAGCGTTTCCTGGAGATTGGTGGGAAAAGTCTCGCCTTTGCCCCTTTTGCTCCATTTAACCCACCAACAGTGCATCTCGGCGGAGAGGCTTCCTGCATTAGGGATGGAGTCCTTAAACACTTGCAGACTCTCTTCCTCAGGTTCAGTAGACTTGTGCTGCTCTATGACGGCAGGGACCAGGGACAGACATCTCATAGCCTTCAGGTGGTCCTCACAGAAGAGAGTATCAATTTCTCTGATGACATGCTCCACTATGGGAACAGACAGGTGCTTCTTGTAGTAACTCTCCGGCCGAACAGCTCCAGATTCTGACTGGTGCTTTCTCAAGTAAGACCGAGGAACCTTAATTGGGATCTCCATCGCAGTGGCTAGGTTAGCGGCCTCGTCGTTCCAGAACTCGTGATAAACATCAATATTGTCAGACACTTCCTTCAGGGAGTGCAATACAGCTTTTAAACTCGCTGCGGCAAAGTGGACATCTGATGCTTTGCCTTGCAGGTTCCTCCCGAAAGCTTGTGTCAGTGTAAGAGTGTTTTTCAGCACAACCAAAGCCATTACGAATTCAAAATCAGCTAGTGCTTTTGAAATCTCTAAAGCGTTGTGTGTGACTTGATCGTTCCACCTCATGTCCTCGTTGTCATGAACACTGTCCACACAGAGTAACAATGCCTCTAGGATTTCCAAGGCCACCTCAAACGCATCATGTCGTCTGGTCCAGCTGGTTCCACAGATCTCCTTCAGCTCCTTGGCTCTCTCTTCTTTGTCCGGGTAGAAAATCGAAATGGCATGCTCCAACTCCAACTGCAGTAGAGTGGACTCACTAAAGAATGACTCAATCTTCTTCAAGGTCGACAAAACAAGCTGAACCCCTGACAAAGCCATTCCATTTGCCAGTACCAGGTTCAATGTACGAGTAGATCTGGGTGTAAGCATTGCCATTGGATACCTTTCTAACAATTTGGCAGAAAATGCTTTTAGTTTACCTAAATGTGTCCCAGAGCAGGAGTGGGCTTGACCTCTACACTGCTCCATATCCAAACCCCAATGGTCCGTCATTTCAGAGAGAAGTTTCTCTGCTAAGGCCTCTGCGTGTCCTTCGAAGGACAAAAATCCAACAAACCTCTCCTGCTGGCAGTTAGACTGGTCCACAAAACGGAGAAAGACGGGGAGGAACCATTCTCCTGAGATCTTCACCAAGTCATCAGTAAGTAAGGAGAAAAAGCCATTTTGTTGAACTTCCTCCACAAGCTTACTGCGGATGTATTTCTCACAAACCTCAACCAGCAGACTGAGCTGAGCTGAGGAGCAGCTCTTTGTATTCGCGTCGTACCTCTTCTTAAGGACCTCATCTCCACAGTTCATGCTATATTCTAACAATGCTTGAAAGTTACTTGACCCAAGGCCATCCTGTTTATTGTCGCCGGGCCCTGTCGGAGGAATGCTTTGCTCTCCCAATAGTACAAGAACTTTAAATAAGGACTTAAGATACTCTTTGTGTTCCTCTTCTTCTGGGGGAGTCTGGACATCTTTTTTAGCTGTCTCTGGTTGAGACTTCTTGAGTTCTAAAAAGAGAATATAAAAAACAGGCAAGATAAAATGAGTCAATCATTCACTATGTGTCTAATGTGAGAGTCATTTGTTTCATTGTAAGTAATACATGAATACATGTGTGTTTGTGTTGATATTTCGACTTACTTTTTCTACCCTTACTGTCTGTTTCATCATCCTTGGTCTACAATAATAAAAGGCAAATTAAAACGTGATTTAAAAAAATGATAATCTACTTATACAAATGATTATCTCCCATTGATAAATGAAGATGTATTTTACCCACCATTGCATTACTGCGCTTCCCCTGTCCATTTTGAGGTTTGCTCTGTCCTTCAAAGATAGTTGGTATGGCACCATCCTTCAACACTGTACCCTGAGCGTCCTGTAAACAGAGTCAAGGCAGAGAAGTTCATTATACAAACCATATTTAGACTGAACATACAAATAGGACTAATGGATTAACTAGGAATGTGATCTTTGAGAATATAAAACATCACAATATTCTTTTCCAGATATCTTAAGATTGATATTGCAACAATATTGTAGGGGCTTTTTTTTAAATTGTAAAGCCCTTTGATAAATACTAACACAATAAGATTTTTGATAAATGATTATGAGCAATGCGTATATAATGACTTATTGGGTCATGACAAATATTAAAAGTTTGACATTAACATTATTATTGTATTTTAGCCTTCAAAAACAGAAAAATATTAACCTTTATGCTATTTTATGATATCTACAATCAAACACGATATATAGTCCAATATCACATTATCGGCATATTGCAAAGTCATATTAACTAACTGTTATTCCTGTAACCTATAAAATAACTACATTTTATTCTGTATTGATTGAGGTTGTAGTGAAACAATATAAAGGGCAGCACAAAGCCATTCTTTTACATTTTAATTGAAGGCCGGGCAATTTGATCCAAAACTTGTGCACATCTTGTAAACACAACTTACACTTTCAACCAAGGATGCTTCAAAATGTTTCCCACACAGTCTGTAGCACTCAAACAAATGCTCTGCTGATTTGTCGCTGAGATCTTGCCTCTGACACTTTTCAACCCACTTCTTCGACCTGAACGGAGGGGATACATCCAAAGATACTATTAACTGTCCATACAATTTTAGCTTCAAGTTTCAGTTATACATCAATCAGCCAAGGCATGCTTTAGTTTACTAAAAACAAGGAACAATGACTAAGATTATAAAGTTAAACAAAACATAAAAAGCATATCATGCATATGGCAATTCTATAACTAGTGACATTTATTTATTTTGTAGATTAATATGGGAGGCTAACATGAGCCAAACCTCCTGTGTACTGTTGTACTGTATTAATGAATGATAATGTATGATGCATAATAAAACGACCATGGACAAGATCTCCTGATGGAACACTCTGTTATCAATCCCACCAGGGCCTCTTCTGCTAAAACAAAAAGGGTTGTAGACGTGCCCTTACAGAAAAAATAAACTGAGTATGTCGTTTACAGATATAATTTACCACGACTGTAGAATTGTATACTTTGGTATGGGTTGTATTTTGTAAATCGGGGTTTGCATAACATGTTCACATCCTCCAAAAGGAATCATGATGTCAGGTGTCTATGTATGCAAAAAGCAACGCCACGTGCATCTTTCAACCTTCTGAATTGGTTTTGCAAGTTGAGGTAACTCGATATTGTATGGGTTTAATAAAGAATGCGCTACAGAGCGAAACACAGGCAGGACATCTTGCTAAAATATGCCTCGACACTTAAAGCAAAGTTGCCCTCGTTGTATAATGCCGTTCTCTTATTTGACGTACAAAGTAACACGTTGTTGTGGGTAGCTTGAGAGCTCCCGGTTTGCTTTAGCATCATTAGCAATAGTTACCTTTCTGGGCCACATGGGAACCTGAAGAGGGGCTGGGGGTCGGATTGCCCCCCAGGACAGCCCGGCACAGCGCATTGAACCTGCATTCTGTTTTTGTATCATATACTAGCGTTTTCACTATGAAATCCTTTTCAGATAAGCGAACTACGTCGCTAACGCTAAGTTAGCTTTCAAGATTTGTTGTAGGCCTATAGTAAATTCATTTCCGACTTTTTCTTTCAAAATAAAACAAATGGACTTTGCTTTTTACAAAATGTTCTAATGTATCACAAGTTATTGTCATAAGCCCTATGAGAAAATGCATACGAAAACTAGGCTTGTCAAGTCTAAATCAACTAGTGTATTCTTTTTGTTTTTGGTTGGAATTTTGATTTTATTTTGAAGGCACATTCTTGCAAGTGAAACATTTTTTTGTGAAGCGTGATGTAGGAACAATTCTATGGGATTAGTTTTGTATCATAAAGATAAAGCAACACTTTCTCAGAATAAAGCAAAACTATGAGTTTAAAAGAAAAAAAACGGAGTAAAGCTAAATCAAATAAATTAAAAAAATAAAACTACAAGTTGCAAACAAATCATTTGTGTAATCATGTAAACTATAAGTATTTTTTCTTTGTTTTAACATAGGTTTTTGTTTGCAGTTCTTGTTTCTTCTATCTCAATGATCAGACTTTTGCTCTCGCTGCAGCTCTTCTCTTTTGCTCCCTCATTTTTTGTTTGAGATTCTGACACAAACCTCCCAGGTGGGCGGGACTTTCAAGGGTGCGACCCCATTGGCTACTCAGTTTTTGAGTGACAGCCCAGTCCTCCAGCGATTGTACAGTGCAGGCAGCTGCGGTAGCTACCTGAGCGTGGATAGAACACCCGCAGAATAACTAGCATTTCAGTTATTATAATACTACAAGTGAAAATATATGCAAGTATTGATCATTTGTGTTGTTTGTGCTGTACTATACGGTCTGTTTCTTTATTGTGTTAAG